TGAAAAAAAAATTACAAAAGGAATAAAAATCTAAGAAATTTTTCCTATAAAATTCATATCAAAATTTTTAAAAAATGGATTTTTCATGAAATCACACAAATTCCAAACTAAACTCCAAAAATCTATGAAAGATTGCAGAACAGTAAGTAAAAATCACTCAGAGAATATAGGAGGGTAGGGCTCTCCTTTCTTCAGGTGCATTTTTAATGTTAAATGGTAGACATCAGTGAGAGTGGTTTTGATTTCCTATCCTATTTCATCATTCACAGGCTCTTTGAATGAAGTAACCCCTGTGGCCTTAGCTTCCACCACTGTACTAAGGATCCTGAGTTTACATCTCTAACATCAAACTCTTTCTTGAACTCAAAACCTGTATGTGTAATTGTGCATTGTGTATTTCTTAGAAAGTCACGTGAACCTCAAAGTCAGTGCCACTAACATCTTTCTGAATTCTTCATACTTCCATTGTCAGAGAATGATATCACCATCTCCTTGGTTACTTAAATGAGAAACCTGTGAACCATTGCCCACCCCATTTTTGCCCCCTACCAGTCACTATGCTCTTTCCGTGCCATTGCCATTATTTCTCCAATGCACCTATTTCTTTCCATCCCCACCATTACATCCTTAGTCATGTTGCTTATTTTCTTGTGGAGCTTACTGGAACAGCCTTTTAACTTTTCTCGCAGCCTTGAGTAATTCATCTTTCAATATCATTTTCCCTTCCAGAGTGAACTTTTGAAATTGTGCCAAAGAATCTTTCATGACTTCCCTTGCAACGGAACTGTGAGATTTTTTAAAAACCTTTTTTCTTCCATGCTCTCTAACATGACCCTCAGTCTGGCCTTCTTACCTCTCGAGCCATGTGAGTTGCTCCTGGAAGAAGCTGTTCTCCTTTATGCCTCAGCGTGTAGGCTTCTTCGGCCATGGACATTGTGTTCTAGTCACTTCTACCTACATGACTTCAGGATTCAGCCCAGGAGCTCCCTCTTTCATAAAGCCTCTCTTGACTTTCTTAACTCTGGAAACTTCTATCATAGTACTTCACACACTGCCTTGCCAAGGTACCCTTAGTTCTTTCTATTTCTTCCCAAGCACACTGTAAACCCCTTGAAGCTGACACTGGCACCTGTATATCCACTTAAAAAAAAATCAAATAGTCTTTGATTCAACCAGTAAGTTAAAAGATGAATAAAACCACAAACTCTTCACTAATTACCCCATTTGGAGTTTACATTCTAGGTAACATCGATTCTGAAATGAGAAAAATGATGTGCCATTAATACAGTATAAAAGATACTGACAAAGGAGAAATCTCCTGCCATCATCAACACACTTCTAGGGGAAGAGATTGGTAGGTGAGAGAAATGAAATATAGTAACCTAACCTATGTAAGCTGGGGTGGGAGGAAGGCAGTCATTTCCTTTTGATGGAGTAAAACCTGGGTAGAGAGACTGTTCCATTGTTAGCTCTGAAGTGCTCTAACAAACATTGGCAGGTGTCTGAACAAACAGCCTTGGAAGCCTTTGATTGTCCAAAAAAGATTGCAAGAAGCCTATCTAGGAGAAAGAGAGACGAAGAGTTATATGGAATCCTATGAAGATTCAGACAGAGGAGAGTACACAGATTTTTATGCTCTCAACTTAAAAGAGGTGGCCCAGGTGTCTGTTTTCAGATGGTTTCCTGTTATTTCGTATATTTTGGATATTTATCTCTCAACATACATAGTTAGTTAACAAAATAGTATTTGACTTTTTGTAGGTCAGCTAAATCGGTCTTCAGGATCTCTGCCCTTTGGCCCAGGGTCTGAATTACCCATTGGAACTATCCTGCCCTTTATCCTCCACAAGAGAGGAGATACACTCCGGGGACATAAAACCAAACATCTGTCACACTGGTCAAATCAGAAATTTTCAGCAACATTTTTTTAGTACCTACTCAAAGATTGCTCCTGAATTTCTACTAAAGGGGGCAGCAAGGGCATACTTGTTTGAAATGAGGAGCAGGGAGGAGCTAATGGAGATTTTGTGGTAGTAGGTGAGGCTAAATCCCTTCCAAGCTGCATGAACCTTCTTCTTGTGTTGCCACTGCACCTATTTTCTTATTATATTGTGCTAGCCAGTGTGGGAGAGTTTCCAAGAAAGAACTGAGTCCTACACTCAGGGAAATTAGAGTCCAGCCAGGGGAGACAAAAAAAAAAAAAAAATCCCAGAGCTTCTTAAACTGTTATTGTAGAACAACTTTCTAAAGATAGTTGAAGTCCAGGAATAGCCTGTTCTAACTTGATAAATGAGGGCCTACAGTTTTCAACAGCATACATGCAGAATCAATATTATTGTAAGAAGTAAAAGAAAGAGTGAGCCTATGCATCTGGTTGACCAGGAGATCTGGGTCTGACCACAGCGTTTTAGTCCTTCCCGGTCCCAGATGCCATTTGGTACCTGATATTGTTTGGATCTTGAATGGTCCCCCAAGAGCCCACGTGTTCCCAAGGTGGTGTTGTTGGAAAGGGGTGAAACCATTAAGCAGTAGGACCTGGTGGGAGGTCTTTAAGTCCTTGTTGGATATATTCTCAAAGGGGGAAAAGTGGGACCCCGGTTGCTTCCTCTTCTTCTCTTTTAATACCTTGCTACCAGGTGAGTGGGTTTTCTTGCTACGTATTCCCATCATTATATGTTGTTTTGCCACAGGTCCAAATGCAATGGACCAAGAAACCATTGACTGGAACCTCCCAAACTGTGAGCAAAAATAAACCTTTTAAAAAATAAGTTAATTATCTCAGGTTTTTTTCTTTTTTCTTTTGTTGGTGCTGGGGATTGAACCCAGGGTCTCATTCATGCTAGACAAGCAGTCTACTGCTAAGCCACATCCCAGCCCTTATCTCAGGTGTTTGGTTATAGTGATAGAACGCTAAAATTAGTTCAAATTCACCAGCTTTCCTTGGTGGCCATGTGTCTCCTGGTTAAATATCAATGGGGTTGATTGTAGATGTTGGGTCTGGACAAATTTTCAGGGCAATAGCTGGAATTCTCAAAAGTCTCTGGATTACCTGCTGAATAGTTTTTAGATGAGTGCAGAGGAGTTGGGCTGAGAGATCACTCGTGACTGATGTTTCCTTTGCTTTTCTTTTTCTGAAGACGGGGTTGCCAGCATTTTCTCCCCCTAGTCTTACCTCCTCATCCCACATGTCTCCTGCAGAAAATGAAAAGGTTGCAGGCCCCGGCCCCTTTGAAAAGTGAAGCTATGCATAGGAGAAGACAGTGTCAATTTCCAATTGCATTAAAGCTGAATTTACATTATCACAGGGCATTGTTACCTAGGGATTTTCCTTATAATAACATTCTCTTTGAGTTGAAAGAAATTAAAGTACTGCCCTGAGGAGAAATAATTAAGATATAATTGTTGTATGAGGCAGGTATGTGTGAATTAGAATAACTAAGGTTTATAGAATCCTTATGATATGACAGACACTATTCCAAGCAATTTATTTTTGTATCTTATTTATTTCTCACAGTGGCCCAATGAGTTTTGTACTATTAATATCTCCATTTTAGAGATGTGAAACTTTAGATATAGAAAGATAATTTGCTTGAGAGTCCTGATAAATGGCAAAGTTAGGGGCATGGACTCAACCAGTCTTACTCCATAGGCTGTGACTTTAACCACAATGTTATTTTGAAGCGAATGAGTAGAAGTTACCATTTTTTTGTTTTGTTTTTAAATTAGCTCAAATTCACAGCTGGACTATAATAATTAAAATTTTAATAGCTAGCTTTGTTATGAATGAAAAGAACACAATTAGAGTAGGAAAACCCTGCAAACACTTGGAATTTTGATTTCTTATTTACAAGGAAATTCTGATTTGATTTCTAATCCTAGCTGTTTCTCTTTTCCTGAGGCATCTTTCTATCTTACTTGTCTTTTCTTTCTAGAGGATCTTCAGTTTTTCTTTCTCTTTTAATTTCATCCTCTTGCCCATGTCTACTCCATCTTGGGGAAAATACTCTTGGCTATACCTGCTTCCTCTAATTTTTTTTTTTTTTTAAAGATCCATTTTTTCTATTTCACTCCTACTACTTCTTCAAGGTTCTTCTCTTGAAGGCCCAAGTAACCTCTTTGTGAAATTCAAAGGCATTTGCTATTTCTGTTGCTTCTTGCTCCTTTATCTTCTGTAATAACACAAAATCTAGCTCTTCTGCATGTCTTTTCTAATTTTTTTTTACTTCTGTCTGCCTCCTACCCACTCACTGTGGGTTTTTCTCCAGTGCTTATTTCTTAGAACTCTTCTATTCTTTTGATGACATCTTTTCTTTGAAAAGCTCATCCATTATCAAAGTTTCACCTCTCCCTTTCATGCAGGTGACTTTATATCTATCTGTACCTTAGTAATTTCCTCTTATCCAAATGTCAGTATTTATTTTCCAAGTGCTTCCTTGAAATTTCCATTTAAGTATTTTACTGCCACCATTAAGCTCAAAGTGCACAACCCTTTGTTCATAGTCAGTGCTTCCCACATGGATTCTCATGCTGATGATGACGATGACATTGTTGATAATGATGACAATAACAAACATTTATGCAGCGTGGCATCATTCTGAGTACTTTGTATAGATTCACTGCTTTAATCCTTAAAACAATTATTATCCTTATTCTACAGCTAAGATATGTTAAGTATTATGCCTCCAAACGATGCCACCTGGCTAGTGGAGAAGGTGAGATTCACCCAGTCGGCCTCCCTCGATAGTCTTGATGCCGCGTCTGTACTCCATATTTCCTGGTGGTGCTTTCTAATTCCTCACACTCAAAACTGTGCACCTCCTTTCCCTTATTCTACCAGTGTAATTCATAACTTCTCCATTCTTTTAAAATGTTTTTGGTGTCTCTTATCAGCCAGAGTCTGCTTGGCAGACATAGAAGCACGGTTAAGGAAATGGGAGGAGACAGGAAGCTCTTAGATATTAACATCGTTGAGATGCTGTCACCAAACCCAGTCTTGGAAGAACACAAATGGTAAACAGCGTCATGGGGTTCCTTTCTAGAGAAAGCTGGATCTCTGGAATTGGGACTACCACCAGTTCCCAGAGGAGTGCAGCCACTGATGAACGTGATGATCACATACCCCTTGAAGGGGCTGAAGAAGTAAGTGGGGAGATAGGTGCCCTCTATCTTTCTCCTCAGAGTCTCCAATTTCTCATGCCTGCTTCATTAAGTCCTGCTTGTAATCTTGCCTCCTTAGTTGCTACCCTGTCACCAGCCCAGTTTCTCTGAGATGCCACATTCCTTGTGACATTTTTTTTCCTTCTCATAAGCTGTCACTAATTCTTGGTTTGCTCTTGGCACTCCTCCAAGCCCGAAATCCCATCTCTATTTTAAATGTTGTAACTGCTACTTTCCTGGCTCTGATTGGTCTCTTCATTGCCACTCCCTTTCTACAAAAATGCCACTTTCACACCTGCATCAAGTGCTGTTTCTCATTTCCCTCGATATGCCTCACCTATTTTGGTCTTCTTTCCAAATACTATATATCCTTTAAGACCCCTCTTTTCTGTAAAAACTATTCTACATACATAGGTTCCTCTGTCTTCCCAGTTTCTGCTAAATTGTGAGGAACTTCTTATGAATTTGATTTTAATTATGTTTGTTTTTTTTTATGACTGTATGTCTTGTCTCTCTAATGCAAGATCAGAAATCAAGGGTGTGGTTGATGGCTCATTGATGTGACTCTCATTTTCTAAGCTGTAACAGTCTGAAGGGGTACAATCGCAGCAGCCTGGGTGACAAAAAAAAAAAAAAAAAAAAAGATGTGTGCTCTATGCTCCTCACTGTACAATCAGGAGAACCCTAGTCTTCAAGTCACTCCCTCTTCTGGCAGGGTCCTGATCCTCTCCTTTGCTGCTAGAAGCATGTCAGATCACATATCCCAAGATCATCTCTGATGGGCTGTCCTTGCTTCTGTAAGTTGCAGGACTTACCACAATATGTCTTTGGGATTGATTAGTGTTCAGCTTCCTTATTGGGATTGTTCATTTCCATATGATTGACATTCTTTTCACTCTTTGTGGTGCAAACCCTTCTCTTTGCCAAGAGTTACCTGTTAGGATGGGATTATATGGAGTACAATGCAGGTTCATGGTCCCAGAGAATTCCAGTCTCCTGGCTCTAAGCTAATGTCTCGGGCTCCAGTTGGTTCATATTAGCAACACAGCCCATGTTTACATATTGAGGTTTGTCTTTTTCTTTCTCCCAATTTCATACTTTAAGATCCTAGAGTCTTAAATCCAACCTTTAATTTAAAGGTTGGGAAACCTTGAAATTCAACCTTTTGACAGTTAAGTGGAGGAAGAATGAGTTAATAAAAATGAATGGACTTATCACCTTGGCCATTTGGATGGTTTCTCTGGTCTTTTGTCCAGAAAACTTTCTCATTAATCTTCTTGTATTTTTATACCCTTTCTCACTGATAGGTTGATAAGTTGAATCATAATGATGATACTAATAGGTTAAAGTAATAGCTTAGTTAGAACTAGATGAATTAAAAAAAAACTAAGAAGGGCCAATGTCTTTCAGCAGGAGAGTGAATTTGCATGGTGAAATCTATTAATAACAAATATCTTGGGGTCTTCTGAAGAGCATATATATGGTTAAAAAATAATTCTTGGTACTCATTAATCTTGGATCAAGGAAACACAATTTCCCCCCCTTTTAAAAATCTACTATCATTTGTAATTAGCCAAGGAAATGCACTGTTTTCCAAATTCAGCAGTTTTCTACATAGATGTTTCTTTCTATCCAATAAAAGCTATATTGCTTTTCTAGAAATGATCACAAAAATGAAAAACATCACCAGACTAGCTAAATCAAGACACAGGACATGGAGGGAAAAAGGAATCATTTGGAAAAGTAATTGAGTTCATACAAGAACTTTCTTCTTGAAGATTTTGACATCTTGAAGGAACTTATTTATCTGTCTATCTCAACCATTGCCAAATTGTATGATGTGAAAGAGGAAGGTAGAGCTTAACGGAGGGGGATCCGGCTGGGTGCAACTTCCTTTTGCAAACACAGAGACCTTTCCTTGGGGGAAAAAAAAGGCAGAAGCTGAACTTCGTGGGTTTGAGGGCTTGCAAATGCAGCCAGCTGAAACTTTGTAAACATTTAGCATAAAACTCATTTTTAATCTCATAAACTTAATTTTTCCCCCTAGCATATGGGATGCATAAAAAGGAAATAAAACTTTAGTAAATTGAGCCTTACTTGTGCTTTATAAAAAAGAAATTGAATTGCTCTAATGGCAGCTGCAGCTGGCTTTCAGCTTCGAACAACCAGTGTAAATCTAGTTTTTAGTGCTTGATTTAGTAAACACTCAGCTGCAAACAGGCTTCGAAACAGCTCTGAATGCCGGGTTTTCCGTAGAGGCAGTTATGTAACCTTTGTGTGATATGCCTTTAAAATATGTGAAGAATAGCAGAAACCCTGATTGGGATATCTTACAATTATCCTTTACTCTATATTTAAATCTGCAGAGAGTTTGCTTCTCATTATACATGGAGCTAGCACAAATGGGTTCTAATAGGCCATGAATTTAAATGCATGTGTAATATTCATTAGAAATTAAAAAAAGTCGAGTACTAACACAGAGTTAGGAAGCTCTAGTAGAGTTAGACACATTATTTGGTTACCTCAAAGTGATCATCACAGCTTGTTTTTGATCTTGTCCTTCCCAAGCCTTATGTCACACTCCCACACACCCAAGAGCCTCCTATTCTGTTTAGCAAAGGCTGCATTGCACCCAGCTTGCAGTTTTTACCAAAAATAGGGAGAAAATCTTGTTCTTGATGAACAACATGGAATGTCCAACTGCTTTTAAGTGGATGCACAAGTAACTGTTAAGACAATCATGCTAGTTTATCCAAAGTATTCCCTAGTGACCTGGACTCCTTGCGGGTGTTTTGCTGTTTTGGTGAAGGTCATTTTTCCAATCACTGGTAGACAAGATGAGTATTGGCATCTTATGGCTTTCCTGCTAAAGGAATCTTTTTAAAAATATTTATTTATTTTTTTAGTTGTAGTTTGACACTATACCTTTATTTTATTTATTTTTATGTGGTGCTGAGGGCCTCACATGTGCTAGGTGAGCACTCTACCGCTGAGCCACAACCTCAGCCCCTAAAGGAATCTTTTAAAAGAATTTTGGCTCCGCTGGCCGGGGTTAATCCTGGGAACAGTTTTGCATTAGGATAAATCAGTGCCTGTTCTTCCTCCCTTAAACATCTTCCAATATTTCAGGTTTATTTTTAGCTGACTGTCAACCAAACCTGCCTAAGGCATTAATTGATAAGTGTTAAGAGTCTCTATTTCTCATGGGTATTTCTGATTTTAAAAGAGACTCTTGAATGTGAAAAAGTCCCAAGACCCCAAATTTGGGTTGTTTTTGTGATAGGCTCTGGGACTGATGTGGTGCAGAGAGCAACTTGCTTCAAGGCTGGCTCTGGGCACAATGGCTGGGCTTTAGAGAAGTTAATTCACACACATCCTTTTTCTTTTTTCCCCACCATCTGGTTGTTTGGCTGCCAGCAACTGGAACTCTTAAACAAATGGAGACTGTGACATTGGAGAATAAGCCTATTACACAGCAAGGTAGGGAGAGAGTCTGAATGTCTCTATCTGTAGCTCTGCTGCTGCCAGCTGAGTGACTTTAGGGAAGTCATGCGAACTGAGCTTCTGCCTGGCCTCTCTTGCAGGACCCTTGCAGGACCCTGGGAGAGGATAATTACCACCCAGATCCCTGAGATTCAGGGAAATAAATGTGAGCAAGTAACAGATCTTGTTATGCCTGTGGATGAAATGCTTGAACTTAGAGATGATTAAATCACCAACTATTCAAACAATTAAAGAAAATGAAAGCACCTTGGAAAATAAAATGAACATGATAGTGAAAAGAACTGAGCAATTTCAGGTGTAATCTTCACTACACCTTTCCCCAGCCAGGGGTTCAAGTCATACCAGGTCTGAGGGTCCATCTGTTTGTAGCAAAAGTCCAGCATTTAACATTTTTTTTCAATATTACATTTTAAACAAAAACTCCATATGCATGTAATATACAAAGTCAAAATACACATCTTGATATAGTTTGGATCTCTGTTGAAGGTGTGCCCCCTCCCATCCAGCAGTATTCATAAGTTAGAGATGATTGCAACACGAGGGCTCTCACGACATCAGTGGGTTCATCCATTGACAGAGTCAGAGCTTAATAGGTTATTGGGAGGTAGTGGGACCTACTTGTAGGAAACAGGTCATTGGGGATGTGCCTTTAAAGGTTTTACTCTGTCCCTGCAACCTTTCTCATGCACCTTCCTCTCTTTCTTTTTCTCTCTGCTTTCTGGCCACCTGAGGTGAGCAGCTTTGCCTGATGGTCTGTCTCACCATACACCCAGAAACAATGGAGCCAAGTGGCCATAGACTGAAACCTCTGAAACCATGAGCCAAAGTAATTTCTTCTCCTTTTACATGGCTTCTCTCAGGTATTTTTGTCACAGTAACAGAAAGCTGATTAACACAGATCTATTAGAAAATTCTGCAGTCTCCTGACTCCCTTCTCATGTCTCCCCATCCCCCTCTCCAAAGGTATCACTTTCAACTATTAAATTTCTTCTGGCATTTAATATCTCCAGTGTTCTAAAAATGATGTGTACATTGCTTTCTCTTGATTTTCCCATTTCAGAAAGTGTCTATCAGATTCTTACCATGGAAGATACAGCTAGCTTTCTACACAGATTTCATTGAGCTTCTCCTTCACATCTTCCCAGTATTGTTTTATTATAATTTTGGTTAAATCAGTATTATGGTCATTCCAACATTCTTTATAACTGAGTATTATAGTGTACTAGTTTTCTTCTATTATATTTTTCTTAAAGTTAATAATACTTTTTTTCACTTACTTATTTTTCTTTGTAACTATTTAAAAATTATTTCTATCTCTTCTTTTTTAAAAAAATATTTTTAGTTGTAGATGGACACAATACCTTTGTTTTGTTTATTTAGTTTTTTTTTATATGGTCCTAGGCATCAAATCCAGTGTCCTTGCGCATGCACTAGGCAATCAGCTCCACCACTGAGCCACATCCCTAGCCCTATTTTAT